CAGCATGGGCTGTGGTAGTTTCCCTGACAACCACAACAGCTGTTTGTAGCTTACCAGCTCTCTTACTCGTCTTCACTGATAAAGGACCTGATACAGAAATTTTTGAATAAGATAGGAAATATTTCTAAGTTTGTATTTAAACCATTAAATATTATCATCAATAGACTGGATTTCTATTATCTGTTTGTACAAGTAGATAAAGGGGGTAAGTTTCTAAAGAAACTGTGGTGCTGCATCAGTGGGAGAGTATAGCAGGGTAATTTAGTATTGTTGACTGAGTTAATAACTTAAATTGGCCTCTGTAAAGAGTTTAAAAGTTAACATTTAGAGCGTTAGCCCTTTGTCCAAACAATTGGCAAAGGGCTTAATGCTCAAACAAAGAGCTATAGCACTCCGAATGTCAGCTTTTAAACTCATTATGGTGGCCTGTTTGTATAAATAGTCCACTTTGTTTGTAAGTATGCTGTAGGAAAAGAGAACTGTTCAGGAACAAATGGAGAGGACTTCAAGTTCTTCTTGTCCCTGCTTATCATTAGTAATCAGCATTGACTGGTTTGAAGGCTTTCAGTGTTTATTCAATCCTTTTTTACCCCACAAATATTGATCCAAGGTAGGAGGGTATGTGGAAACCTCGTCATGATATCTCTCTTGTGTGACAACTAACAAAACGAGTTTCCCTAAAGATTCCACAGCCTGACAAGTGTAGACAAATTCCACAGATGATCACATACTCCTGCATCTCGCAAGGGAGATGAGCGATTATTTTTTGCAGACTTTTTGCAGTGTCTTAAATTCTTCCTTTTTAATATTTTGACATTTTACAATGGTGTCTCCCTCTCCTTATGTTTCCTCTCTCTTTTTCTTTCCATTTGTGGCAGGTTTCATTTGCATTTTTTCCAGACTGTCTTTAATATTAAGGTACTTCATGCAAAATTCCTGGTTTCCCATTGTGTGGGAGTCTCACCAGAACTGCTCAATGGGCCCCTTATGGGGCATTACCAGGATCTCGGCAGGATTCTCATAGACAGAGAATGGAATATTGTGTGGAGTACATTGATTACATCATTACTATGCAGGGATCCCACACCTGACCTTAATGCAGCTGTTAATCTTTCCCTTATGTTATGATCTCTTGTAGATTTTAAATGAAAACAGTTGGCCAAAATGAACCCTCTCCACCCTAACATCAGTATGTATTTTCTCCATAATATTCTCTATACATTTTCCAAGGTGCTGAGAAGGAGAATTTGTTTAACAATCAAAAACTTCTTAACCTGGTGATCAGTTCCTCCATTCTTGCAGCCCTAATGTTTAATTAAGGTTACAGGGTTAATAAATGCGTGATTAATTTATGATTAAGGTTACAAGGTCAATCTTTGATCAATGCTTGATTAAGGCTGCAGGGTTGATGAAGA